TGGCACTTTATAAAGGAACAATATTTGAATAATGGCAATGAATGGCCACCATACACCATTGACCAGTGGCAGTGGGCAGTGTACTATGGTGGGAACTTCCATGTCCTGTCTCTTCCTGGTTGGTAACCTTGACACTGAGCAAGTCCTTTCATGACCTGATTTCTCCAAAGTGCTTTCATTTCTGAGATTTTCTGCTCCTTGGGAGCAGGGATCACAGAGTTTTCCATCCCAAACCCACAGCTTAGTAAATTCCAGTTTCACCTCAACAGGCAAATTCCCCAAGGGGAAAAAAAACCAGCAAATGAATAAATTTTCAGGCAGAAAAGAGCCCTGAAGAGATGTAGGATGACATTTCTGGAAATACTCGCTTTAGATTTAAAAGAAAAACTTTTGAAACGATTAGTGAATTATTTAGGACCTCAATATTCCAAAGCTAACATTCTGAGAAATTTAATTTAGATTTCCTTCACACACACTCTTTGATAAGAGCATTCAGTATATAAATGCTATGTAACAGGATTGCCAAATTGCACTGCAGAATGGGAAAAATGTGTCATCTTGAAATGCTAAGGGAATTCTACTAACAGCTTTCTCATTGTGTAAAGCTATTATTTTTCTGAGCTATAATATGATTTATAAACCTCCACTGAGATTCATACTTTTGATGGGACTAGATTCAAAGTAAAATGCATTTTCTCAGAATATAAAATCCTCTCGGGTTGACCAAATGAGGAATGAAAAGAAACATCTTCTGCAACCAAGTGTGTAGTCTTGGTCTCCACTGGGAGCTCTGTAGATGTATGCTGGCTTTCTGAAGAACTCTGGGCTGTGCTCACTTCGCTCGCTCACTTTGCCCCTTTGCCCTGGCAGCATCAGCTACTGCGGATGCTCACTTCGACCCTAGGTCCAGTAGGCCCAGTGCCTCCCACGTGCATTCACCCCATCCTCTCAGACTTCTCTTGAGTTCCACGGCCCTTGTTCTCGCTGCTCACTGATTTGGCCCCCACCACACTCATCTCAGTTCCCTCTTTTCCCCAGGACCTTGAATCCCTGTATTGGAATAATACTAACACCTATAAAATAGGTAAGATGCAATCCCTGATCTTGAGAGGTTTGTAAAATACCACAGGGGGGTAGAAAAGCAAGCGGCTATTTACCATCCAGGGTAACAGGTGCTATGCTAGAAATTTCCAAGATCTTGGACTCTCATGAGGAAAGATGCTCCATCAATCATTCTGGAGGAGGAAACACCTTAGCTGGGCATTCATTACAGGTGGCATCTTGGAGTGCGTGTGAGTGTGCATGTGTAGACACCCATGTGCACATGTGTAACACAAGCAGGCACAAAAGGAGTCTGGGACAGAGGTCAGGGCCTGAGAGCATGAAGGTAGATGGACAGCATGGCTGGAGAGCGGCATAGAAAGAGTGCTCAGAAGGGATTATACAAACATGAAGCCAGATCACAGGAGCTATAGGAGAACAAGACGTGGTTCCTGCCGTTGCACTCCCCCACCCCCACAACAGGATTTGAAACCCAAGAGTGGGTACCAAGGGCTTTTCAGGGAGCGTGTTCATGAGCCAGGCTCCCTAGTTTCAGATTTCCCTAGTGTTTCCCTTGAGATGCTTCACTAGACGTAAGGGAAGTCAGTTTGCCGTAACCTCTTTTGTAATAATGCCTTGTAAAGCAAAGGTACTTTACATGAGTCTTTACAAAGTTTGCGAAATGTTTACTAAACAAAAACTATCCACAGGTTTTAAATGTTTGTAACCAAATGAGCTTAACTTTTAATTCCCTTTCTGTGATTCTTTGAAAATGTTTGTTTAAAAGGCAAAAACAACAAGGAGGTAAGAGACGGAGATCCTCGTCAGCTGGTTCATTCCACAAACAGCTGCCAACAGCCAGGGCTGGGCCAGGATGAAGCTAGGAGCCAGGAACTTCAGCTGTCTTGATTTTCCACCTGGGTAGTAGGGGTCCAATTATTACATCATCTTTCATTGCTCTCCCAGGTTGATTAGCATGGAACTTGATCTGAATCAGGGTTTCTGGGACTTGAACCAGCACTCTAAATGGGCTCAGGGTTGCATGCAGTAGCTTAACTCTGCCACATTGCTAGCCTCTTCCATGAACTTTTTGAAATTTCCTTTTATAGGAAAGCATTGGAATCCTTTCAGTCATTCTGAGTATAAGGTAGACCTTGCACTTTGGAGCTAGACAGGGTAAACTCTAAAACACTGGCAAGCTACTGAACCACCCTGCAGCCTGCACCCTGCACCCTGTTATATTGGGCAGAGCAGAATGCTGGTCTGGGGCTAAGTAGAGAGTCCAAAATGGCTGTTTCCCTGGACACCTGCCAGGGCCCAGACACCCCCATCCAGGAGAGTCCAGAATACCCTGCATGGATCATGTAAGCTTTATCAAAAATGTCTGGAATAATCTATAGGAACAACCAGGCTTGTCTCAGCCTGCCTGATGAGTACCTTGTGCTGTATGTCGTACGTGTGTGCAGAGCAAGAAACGCCTGCCTTCATCTTCCCCCACCCCCTCACCTAGAATGGATAAAAGCCCAGTGCTGTCTACCCTAGGTGGGCATTTCCCTCACATGGTCACCCCGCCCTGTGGAAGTGGTCCCAGACCATCTCCTGTGAGGGAATGATTGATCAGATTCTATTTCCTAATAAAACCCTTTGCTTAGACTAATAGCCTCTTCCCCTCTCTCATGCGAGTCCAAGCACCTCTGAACCTAACAGGAATCAGACAGAAGACAGAACTATCTGGAAGCATTGGCCAAATCTGTCTTAAACAGGTTCACATTGGTTTGTAGTCTTTACTCATGTCACTCATCCAGCATTTTGCTGTGGAATGTTGATGTGTTAGATTGTGATGATGCCCCTGATCTATGTTCTAGCTTTCTAATGCCTGAAAAATCCTGAATCCAAAACACATGAGGAATTTGAGGACCTGTAATATGCACAAAGTGTAAGTTATATAAGAGAAATGTACATGAAGTACCCCCATAGTACAATAACTAGCAAATAGAGCTCAGAAATTATATGGATTATGAAACAGAGGAAGTGACCTGCCTTTGACTTTTTTTTTTAGAACATCAAGGGGTGAAGGAAACTAAAAAAAAGTCATAGAGGAAATACATTTTTTCCTGTCCCTGCTCTCTCAAAATTTTTATAATCCTATTTTTTGGTGAATGTGTCCTTTCCCACCTCAAGGAGTTTATGAAAGATCCTTTTTCTTTCCCCAGCGTCCCTCTGGAGTAGTTAGCTCCTAACTACTTTCCACTCAGTTTGGCCACCCCTTCTGAGGAGGCTTCCCCCACCCCTGTGCTGTGCTGTCCCACACTGCAGAATCTTTACGTTGCTCAGCTCTGGTTACACTGATTGATTGATTGCTTGATTGATTGATTGATTAGCTGTGGGTTTGCTTGCCCACCCCTACTGTGTAATAAATTTTGAGAATAGGACATGGCATCCCAGGACTGTGGCTGAGCACCTCCCTCAGTACCAGGTACTAAGGAGCCCCAACATCTATTTGTTGAAAATCAAAACAGGAAGACAAATAGAGGAGGAGACTGCTTCAGTGGAAATGAGGAGGAGACCTTTGGTTGAAGCAAGAATGTGAGGCCTGGGCTGTGTGTCACAGGGCTCGGCCCTTGCCCTCTGTGAGGATCCTTAAGGACTGGGCACCACTGTGAAAGCACTCTGGCAGAAGGTAGAATGCCTAACTAACCAAGGGCTTTCTCATTGGCTTTGAGGTAGAGATGAATGTTCATCTCTTGGCCCAAGGAAACTATGCTGCTTAATGACCAACAGGATGGATAAATGATCAAAGTAGTTTTATATGGACAGGAAGCATATTTCATTCCCTTATTTCAACATCTTGACTCTCTTGGGTGGGGAAGGACTGTAAAAACACATCTGTAGGCTGGTCTGCATTGTATTCTTTTGTGTGACTGGATACAGAGTAGACATTTCTTTGGAAAGTCATCCTGGCTGAGGCCCAGACCATCAGGAAATTGCCTCTGTGCTCTGCAGATTCATGCACACAGGGCCCATTCCTGGGCTGGGGATCATGTGACAGGGGGCAGATGGGGTGACTCTGGCAGTCAGTGTAGTCAGCTGTAATGGAGTCAGGGGATCCCTTTATCTGGTAACTAGGGCAAATCGAAGTGAAAATTACCTTCTGATTGAGTAGCATTGCTGAAGAAAATCAATAGAAACAGCTCGAAATTTATTGGCACCATCTCAGCTTTAAGTGGTGTAGATTTTCAAATTACCAAAACACTGGTTTTCAGGATTCATCCTCTCCCAAGGCCAGACGAAAGCAAATAAACAAGTGTGGGTTAGAGGACAAGCAGGCTATCTGTGTGATCCCAGATTAAAGAGAAAATATGTACTGGCCAAGAGTAAGTAATTTTTCGACCTCAAAATATTCTTGCCAGATTCTAGGAATCGTGTGTTTGACGTGTTTTAGAGAGAGAGAAACAGCTGAAGCTGTCTGTTCAGAATGTAGGAGACAAGTTTTGTCTAGACTTTCAGGAAAGATAGAAAATGACATTTTCAGAACAAATCAAAATATATTTTAAGTTCCTTTTTTCGCTTCACAAAGGGGACTTGACATGCTTCTATGATTTGAATTTGGTTGATCTATAAATGGCTTCAATAGCTTAATAGGAAAAGTGGAGTAAAATGAGCCATTGAGAAAAGTTACTGAAAATGTTGTTCACTTCCTTCTCTAAGTAATATTACCACCAATAACAGTTGAGGAACTAGTCTTGGGTACTAGCCAAGTGTGGGCTAAAATCTTGATATGCATTTTCTGAGTTCTTATAACAACCCCATCAGACAAGTGTTATTATACCAAGTTTCCAATGAAAAAACAAAGTCATCCAGAATAGGGATGACTCATCCAAAACTACGCACCTATAGGTGAGCAAGCAAGCATCTAAAGCCATCTTCCTGACCACCACACTTGTCTTCTTTCTCCACAGGGCCAGCATCGTACAGAAACGCATTATTTATTTTCAAGATGAGGGCTCTCTGACGAAGAAACTGTGTGAGCAAGGTAAGACTGAGCCTGTGGGACAGGGTCAGGCAGGTGGAAGGTGGCCTACTCAGGACGAGCTTCCTGCCGCAGGAATGCACGCGATCGCGCTTCCCGAGTTCCTCTGGGCTCTGCTGCCTCGCACAGCTCTGATGTTTAATCTGGCTGTGTTCTGTGGATAATTGGATCCGCCTTAAGCTCTAATTACTCAGTCTGATTCCCTGGGTAGGAGATAATGTACCTTCTATTGGTGTCGTCGTCTTATTTTTGTGAAACAGTGATTATTCTGAAGAGGTTCCCTGGAATAATTCACAGGACTTAATTAAAGAATGCACAATTGTGTACCTTAAAAAGTCTATAGTGATTCTCTGGGGGGAAAAAATCACCAGCAGGAACTTGGGTGACATCTAAATAACACAGAGGTTTTTCTCCAGGGAAAATGGAAGACAGGGATGACGAGAGGACATTGACCTTGAGATGTCAACACATTCCAAGGTTCACGTCCTTAGCTTTACAAGCTCATACAGTCCTCCGCCTTTGGATGAAGGCGTTCTGATAAAGGCTCCGGAGATGAACTAGACTGGGGAGATTGGAACAAGAGCCTGTCTTCAGATCAGGCCTGAGTGATTCTTCCTCTGCCCTTCGTGGCCAGATGACTATATATGCAGAACAATCCAGTGCCTTTGGCTCATAGAAAATTCTATCTGTATAAGTGTTAGTGATTGTGATCCACACCCACAAACTTGTTTATTAATGCACTGTTTAAAAAAAGGCAAGATCTTAAACATCTGAATATGTTTGGGAGTCACTAAATAACCAAGTAAAAATAGAACAGGTTCTATAATCATACAGCTTAACTCACTTTTATTCATTTTCACAGAATTTTTTATTTTCATTCAGAGCAATTTTTTAAAAAGAGATAATCCTCTCTAATGAATTATATACTACTAAGAAAAAAGTAAAGCTGATAAAGTTCTTCTGGAAAGATAATAATAGTAGCTAATATTTTTGGAGAGCTTGCTACTTGCCAGGCACCATTCCAAGCACTTCTATGCGTGTGATCTGCACAACAGCTCTACGTGGTAAAGGTATTATGTAGTCCTCACTCTAGGTGAGAAGCCCGAGGCACAGTTTAAGTGAATGTCTCAGCATCTTCCAGCTAGGAGCAATGGGCAGGACATGAAGCAAAGGGCTTTTTCATCAGATCAACCACCCCAATTCGGGTCACTTGCATCCTTGCTTTGGCAGCTAGAATAGAAACTGAATCCTTGATGGAAAACTACATGGCCAGCACAGAGACGGCAAAGGAGACGGCAAAGGGTGCCCTGCCTGAGGGCCATTCCTGCCATGGGTGGAGGAGAGAGTGCAAGAGCCTCCTTCTCCACCTCATTCCTTTTTGGGAATGTGCCAGTATTCAGTTATTCGAGTTCATTCGGCCTTTCTCTAATCAGGGAGCATCTCAACTATCTTCTGGACATTTCCATTCCTGCCTTCGCTCCCGTGGGTGGAAGACCTGCATGTGTTCTAGAATACATGTTTCCGGGCCACCTCCTGATCTGCCCCCAAAGATGGCCCATCACAACCATGATGGTGTGGTTTTTGTCCAGGACTTGAGGGTTCTTAGGAGACGTTTCACTGATACCTCCTTTGTACTGGGAAGCCTTATGTGAGCCGTAAACATGCTAAAAATCTGCAGCTACAGTGTCCACAAGATGGCACGGCAAATCTCTGTCTTGCTATTACCCATGAAGCAGAGAGGTAAAATGACTAATGTGTACACAGAGGCCACTTCCAATGGCAAGTTAGTGGACAACAAAAGGCCCATCAAGACCTGCACCGTAGAACCTTGAAGTGGAGTTGGACAACATCCCTAGAGATAGCAGATGCTGGAAGAAATCTGTCAATTAGCAAAGTGGGTCCCATTCAGAATGTCTGAAAACGGAAGCATAGAGCAAAGGGATGTTTTAAATGTGTGTGCTCACTTCATTATCCTTAGTGCCTGCATTAAAATCTGTACACGCTTTGCTTCCTTGCTGAATCACATCAAATCTATCAAGGAAGGGGAGAGAGAACCTTGTGTCATTTTTTTCCCCAATGGAAACCATTAATCAATAGGGGAATAATTAAGAGCTGCACAAATAAAAAGCAATGACAATCACCATTTTTTAAAAAACAACACAAACATTGAGTTATAGTTAGCAGCAGAGAACCACAAACTGTTCACAAAGGTAGCCTGTATTAAGCCTATATACACACACTTTCATGCCATGTCACAGAAAGAAAGGAAAATGAAGGGAAAGGCAGAGAAGGGAAGAAAATTCTACGCAAGGAAGGGATGATGAGGGAAAGAAGGAAAAGAAAAAAAGGAAATCAATAACAGAGAACTTGCAAGGAAGCCAGTGGATTCCGAGTACAAATGGCAAGAAGGAGCAGCTGAGGGGCTGCACCGTGAGCAGCAGGCACCTTGCGCACAGCCGCACAGGCCGTGCTGTGCTGAGCCTGTGGTAAGGTCACATTTGGAATGGCCTCTTGTCACTGCCCTCCTTTGTTTATTTGCCGCTTGCAAATCTGATTCATTTTTCAGTAGGCTTTTCCTCAGTAAGAAGTACAGTCATGTTTATTGCAAGACTTAAAAATGTTATTTTTAACCCATTTCTTTGAATTTTTGGCAATATCTTCAAGTTTATGACCGATATATAAGTGCCCTTTTGATAATTATGGCAAGACTAGCAATTGGCCTTATTTTGGCTCTTCTGGAGATGGCCATTGCCCCATTTACCCATGCATGGTAGTTAAAGCTAAAAACTCCAGTGTGTATCTCCAAGTCCTGAATCCCTTTTTTTTTTTCAAAACGGATTTGGGATTTTACATTACAGTTGACCTTAGTGGAAATACATGATGACAGAATCATCAGGAGGTTTTGATTCATACTTCCTTTCCTGGAATACATTCCATGAGGCTTGCCCTTCACTTTCATTGTGGCTCACACAGAAATCAGATCTGGGCTCCTTGCATATCTGGCTGTGGGTACAGATTATGCTCAGGTCACTTCAAGAGTGAAAAAAGTAGGCAATTATTTTTAACTAATTTTTATGTATTTGAAAGGAAGAGGTTAAAAAGGAGTTGAGAGCTTCCAGCCACTAGCTGCGTTCCCCAAAATGGCTGCATCAGGCAGGGCTGTGCCAGATTGAATCCACAAGCCGAGAACTTCTTCTGGGTCTCCCACTTGGGTACAGGGGCCCAAGCAACTGTGCCATCCTCTCCTGCTTTCATAAGCACATTAGCGTGAAGCTGGATTGGTAGTACAGCAGCTGGGACTCAAACCTGCCAATATGTTGGCACAGGCAAGAGGCTTAACTTGCTATGCCACAATTATAGCCCCCAAACAATAATTTCTATTTTAAATGGTTGCATTCCTCTTTCTTGCATTTTAAATGGTTGCATTCCTCTTATCTAGAAATACTGGAGCTATGTAGGAAGGTTATTTTTATTGGAAACATTTACAGAGAGGGCAGAAAGATCTCTCAATTAGCCACAATAGCTGGAACTCAGCTCATCTGAAGCCAGGAGCTTCCTCCAGGCCTCCCATGTGGGTTCAGGGTCCCAAGATTTTGGATTATCCTCTGTTGCTTTCTTAGGCTATAAGTGGGGAGCTGGATGGGAAGTGGAGCAACCAGGACACAAACTAGTGCCCACATGGGATCCTAGCACATGCAAGTGGAGGATAAGCCAATTGAGCCATTATCCCGGGCCTAGGAGGTAATTTTTGAAAGTCACCATTTTCATTTGGTAAAAGCAGGGAAGAAATGAGCAAAAAGAAGAAGAAGAAAAAAAAAAGCTCTCTCAGTTAATGTTTGTGCAGACAGCTCCAAGGAAGTTCTTCCCTGTAGTAACTTAGGCAGAAGTTAAGGGCTTTGTACCCAAAAAGATCTGAGTCCATTTCTTCCTGTATACTGACTAACCCTCTGAACTTGAGTTGGTTACCCACTCTGCCTCAGTTTACTGGTCTGTAAAATGAGAACAAACCTTCTACCTCCTATGATTATTTAGTTTAAATGAGACAGTATACGGAAGAGGCTAGCACATACAAAGACCCAATACACTGCAGTTATTACCAAATGTCCATTCTTTTACCCCTATCCTATAACCCAAAATTTCTTTCTTTCACTAGTTACTAATTTCACATTTTCAAACCAAATGAGCCCAGCGAATTCTGGAAGACTTGTAAAATTCTTATCCTGAAACTCAATGATTTTTATATTCTTTGTTGCAGCTCTTCATACAGTACTTAAGAATAAATGTCCAACTTGCAAAATGGCATTTATGTTCATACTTCCAGGGAACAGAAGAAAAGGCAGTTGAAACATGCCATGCCTGTAGTCATTGTTTTCCTATTGCAGGAGGCAGAGCATGCTAAAAGCAACAGGGCACAGTTAGGGATGTGGGTTTGACAATCAGAAATGCTGAGTTTATTCATGTAATCTTTTTCCCCACTGATGTGCTATTCACAGCTAAAAATGGAGGCAGACAGGGAACCTTGTTAAGTTTCTCTTGCCTGCTTCTATGCACAGACCTAAGCCTGAACTTGGAATTTCCAACCCCCCTCCCTTCCCAGGAAAGTGTCTGAAGGCCTGAGACAGGGTAGGTACTCCATACATCCTCCCTAGCCCCACCATCAGTCATTCCTTAGATCTCTGCTTGCTCTCGCCATTCTCCAAAGCCCTTGCTCTTTCTAATCCTGGTGTCTTGACCCTAGAGAATGCCTCCTAGAGAAATGCTTAATATTCTTAATAGATTTTGGTAAGGAAACCATGTTATACGAGTGATGAGAAAGGAGGCAAGGACCCAGACAGGGTCACTGAGGACATATCATCCTTGGTTTCCCCCTGCAAAAAAAACACCATCTCAAAACTTCTGCCTTCTGCCTCCCACAGATCCCAGAGCAAAAACTCTGAATTTGATTTTTGTTTGTTTATATTGTTTTTGCAAAGTATAAATGCCATGCTTACAGGTATACAAAATCCTTAATAGTTCATACACTGACTGGTTCCGAGTCTTATTAGTCAGTGAAAGCTACCGTTTGTCTGCTTTTCCAGGGGATTAAGAATAGAGCAAAGCCAGGATAGTGCTGCCTTACACACTGCTCATAATTGTTTCCTAACTTGGTGATATCCTGTTTCAGATTCCACTTTTGATGGGGTGACTGACAAGCCCATCTTAGACTGCTGTGCCTGTGGAACTGCCAAGTACAGACTCACATTTTATGGGAATTGGTCCGAGAAGACACACCCAAAGGATTACCCCCGTGAGTAGAACCACAGTCATTGCTTTATGGGTTGAGGATAAGCACATTGCTGGTTGTGAGATCTGCTAGCTGACGTATGGCATGCCTCTCATTTCTTTCTTTCACTACTTACTAATTTCACATTTTCAACCCAAATGAACCCAGCAAATTCTAGAAGACTTGTAAATGTGGTTGATGAAACACACATTCCAAGCAGATATTCATTAAGACAAACGTGAAACACACATTCCAAGTAAATATTTATCAATACGGACAGGAATAATAATTGTATACTGTTGACTTGCTGGCATAGGATTTGTTGGAAGTTTATCTTATGATTTTTCTCTTTTAAAAAAACTCATGAATTGAACATTTGACCTGGTAGCTGAGACTCTAGTCAGAAGTCTACTTCCTGTACCAGAGTAACTGGGTTTGAGACCCAGCTCTGCTCCTGACTCCAGCTTCCTGCTAATGTGCATCTTGGGAAACACCAATGATGGCCCAAGTGGTTGGGTCTCTACCACCCATGTGGGTGGGAGGGAGACCTGGACTGATTTTCTGGCTCTGGCTTGAGCCCCCACAGCCACTGTAGGCATTTGCAGGCAGTGAACCACAAGATAAAGAGCCTTTCTCTCTGTCTGTCTCTCTGTTTCTCCCTCTCTCTCTTTGTCCCTCTCTCCCTCTCCCCTTCTCCTCTCCCCCCCCTCCCCTCTTCTCCCTCTCCCCATCCCTGTCTCTTCCCCTCTCCATGTGTGCCTCTATAAATAATGAATGGATGAAATTCCTGATGTCTTGCCACTTCAAGTCAGGGTTTAGTAAGCTTAGTCTTCTGAAGCAACTCTACCACTGAATTACACAACAGGCATATTTGTGCTGGAAATAGCTGGCAAAGAGACTTGCACATGCTCAGGCCAAGGTCAACACATATTGAACATATGGGACATATTCAACCAGGCCAGCCACTAATTATCAGTCAGTACACCCTTTCCTCACAGATTCATCGTGGCCAATTCCAATGCCAGTTTGAGTGTCGTCAGGGGGAGTCCAAACTGTAACTTGGGCTCTGTAATCAGTACCCTATCAACTGCCTTTTATCATATATTTATTTCAACAAATACCCAATGTTTGCTGAATTAAACTAATGTGTGCTAAGCCCTGAGAAGACTCAGTCCAGACCAGAACCTCCCTGGTCCGGATATTCCACCCAGAGGGTAGTCCAACATTGTTTGACAGATCCAGAGCTCTATTTGTTTAGTTTTATCCACGGTACAGGCAAGACTTGGACCTTTTGACTCTGGGAAGTAGCCTGATCCACCTCAGCTGATGTGGGAGATGCGCATGAACAAACTTAGACTCTACCTAGCGGGTAGGGACTGCAGGGTAATCACTTGGAACAAATCTCCACAGCTCCTATCCACAACTCATCTTTCATGAGTTTCTTCTCATGCCAGTGTCACTTCCCAGAATTTAGAGGGTGGTAGTAGTGGGAATAAAACCCTGTTGTATCTGGTTAAGGGATCAAATCAAGCCTAAATCTGTGGCATTGGGAGGAGGCTTTAATAAGTGTAACAGATGTGCGTGTTCACTTCCCCCAGGGATGTTGCATTGTCAGAGTATGTTACACTGTCCTAACTTTTGGCTGGGAAAATTTGGTGGTATTACAGGATAGCATTCATCACATCATACGGTAATGATTTCTTAAGGAATCTTTCTTCCCCCACTACATGGAGAGGTCCTCTAGGACAAAAGCTGTGACATGCACATCTTGGATTCTTGGTACCTAGACGAGCTTGTCCTCAGAGCGGTGTTCACCATGACCTAGGAGGCAGGTATAAGCTATGCTTAGCTAGTGAAGAGCAGGGAGTATGGGCCACCTTTTTCTCAGAGGAAAAGAAATGAATTTGTACGCTTTAGGAGCAGATTCATTTAGGAGGGCACAGACAGAGTCTGATCAGGACCTGGAAAGTTCTCTGTTCTCAAAAGTGATTTCTATCAACCCTGGATAATAGGTGTGTTTCCTCTTGCCACGGCATTAATGGTTATGTCTTGGTAACCTGCCCTTGTCATCAAGCCCAGAGACACTTCCCCACAACAGTGCAAATTGGCAAGTGCTATGTCCATCTCTCCTTGATCCATTAGGCAGCCAATACTTCATTTGGTCCACAGGAGTTTCATGAAGGTGGTGCTGCAGATTTTTCACTCTCATCTCAAGATCCCTTTTCCATGTTTAAGTACATGAGAATTCCACATGCCTGTGTGCATTCAGAGTATATCAATGTTCACCATTCCAAAAATCAAAGCTGAGAAATACACGTAATTTTCAAGTAACATATAGCAAATCATAACAAGCTCATTCCATATTATTGTAACATATCTTACGAGAATATATCTTCCCCCCAAAAAAAACAAATTCAGTGAAAAGAATGTCATCATTTTACATTTTTTGCAAATATCCTTAATGTTTGGCTTAATAGAAAACATCTGGATTCTAACTTGCTTTTGTTTCTGCATCCAACTTATTGTGGTATATCTGTTTGGTTGAAGTTTGGGACGAAAATTCTTGCTCATACAGATGTACAATGGAAAAGTAATGGGTATTTTGATAGTCTCTTCAGGTAATAACATATAATTTTCTTTTGATGCCCTGCCACAAACATGTAAAAACTCTACAGGGGATAGTTTTTTTAAAGCTTAATTACACTGTAGAATATGAAACTGTATCAAGGAACTTGTACTCTGTTTCATTAAGATGCATTGCTTCCTCTTCTGCCTTAGATGGGTCTTTTACAAAGGCATGGCTTTGTAACATCATACACTGATCATCTGAAAAACACCAGTTTACCGAATTGTGCAGATCACCCAAATGCTGTGACAAGTCATTAAGCAATATCAAAAATAACATCCATTAATATCACTACAAATCTCATCTGAGAACTGTGGAAAAGCTCAAAGCCATGGATACTAATTTTCTAAAATTCGGATTTTTGCTTGAAAGCTCCGATTTTATAATTGGTAGCAAATGTTGTCAGATGTTTTCCTTGAAGTGACAGGCTTGCTTTGCCTTTGAGAAAATGTATGCCAAGTCCCAAATGTGAAAAACTGTAATTTGTTTGTCATTTGCTTTTTTTTCCAAATAAGAATGTTATTTTATGAATGTAAAAAGTGGCCAATCCAACTTGCACCTCAAAGAATCAAAGTGCTTCTATTCAAGGCCCTCATACTGCTTCAATGTCTAGCAGAAGTGTTTTTGCATGTTTTCCAATTAACCACACAGAAAAATAAAAAGTCACATACTAAAAGATATATTTAATGCAATTAATAATTTTTCATTGTGACTTTAAGGGCATTCTTAAATGAAAAGAGCTTTTATGGTTCATTCCCCTACATAACAGTAGCACATACATTAGCTACTAAGATGAACATCTCAGGGCCACTGCTTTGACACGTTGCTGTGTGCCACTGTTAATCTCAACATACTGTGAAAGGTGCATAATGTCTTTGTGTCAATATGAAAGTATTTTCACCTCAAAACCCCCTGAAATTGTCTCACAGTCCCTGCCTGAGTCTCTGTGAGCCACACTTTGAGAGATTCTGTAATGGGGAAAGATGGAACCGATGTGGGCGATATGTCCATGAGAATTCCTGTTGGAGGATGGGGGACATCCTTGTGCTTTCAGCTGACTCTTACGGTGGCTGCCATTTGTAGGTAGCTCCTCCCAGCCATTCTACAAAATGATTTGTTCCAAATGCTGTTCTGGACCTCCCTCCGCTGAAGTGCAGCGCACCATGCAGTCCAAATGAACCCCTTTTTCTACAAGAGACAACAGGTGGTAAGATAAGAAGGCCTTCATGGCCTTGGGCATCCCCTCCCAAGGACCATGCCATGAATCTCCTGGCTGTCTGGAATTGGTGGGGTCTTGGCAAGGCACTGCCAATCAGCAAGCTCTAGAATTCCACAGTGAGACTAGATCATTTAAGTTGTACTTCCTAATTTTGTAAGTGGAAAACCTTGAAGCACAAGAACTCTTCAAGTCCAAATCGCATACCCAATGAGTGTCAAACCAAAACCAAAATTCAGCTCTCCTGATTCCCTTCTACCTTTCTCCAGAGGACTGCACAAGGCCATCAATCTCTGGCTTCTGCAATACAATTAAATATTTGCTGCACAACACATTTTAATAAGGTCCTGCTGTACTAACATGAACTCAACTAAAACCAAATTCTGTGCTGTACTTTACAGCTTTGCCCCAGCATTCAAAGACCAGTGCAGAGACCCCCAACTTAAGAGGTCAGAAAGAGAAGGCCTGAATTCCAGGAGCCTGGACGAAGTTCTGCTCCCTGAGACAGAAAGAGAATAGCAAGCCCCTAGGGTTCCTGTGTCGGGTACAGCCAGTATGTAATTCCTAGCAAGAGGCATTATTAGCAGGAAGGTGACCAAGCAGTGTCACCACACAAGGATGTCCTGCGGTTGGAGGCAAGCCCAGGCTTTGCTGGGGCATGGGGAGCTGTTGGAGAGAGGAGCCCTGACTGTAACCCTCAAGCTTTTGCCAGATGCCTCCATCCTGCAGAGACTCCGTGTTCCCTCTGGAGAGTGTAAGTTGCCCAACTTTCCCTATGTTTGAAATCGCACCAGTTTCAATGCTGTTTGAAAAAGATGTGTGAATGAGAAGCACGTTTTTTCCAGGAACCATTTTTTTTCTCTTTTGACACTACATTGCCTGAAACATTAATATGGCCCCTGGGATAGATGCTTTACAAAAAGCAAAGTTAATTTGATTATGAAATTCAGCCATCTTTTCCATTGAGTCACTTAAAGACTTATTGGTTTTAGGTTTGAGCACATAAAAAACCACCATTCTTAACACTTGGCAATTCCTTTTATTTCTTCATATATCCATGCATATCCAGAACTTTTATATCACATGCAAACACTTTATGTTCCACCTTTTGCATTCAGTTTTATTTGCAGTCATAATTCATTATGTTAACTTATGCTCGACAGCTTACTTAATTATTCCTTC